GAGAGAGAGAGAGAGAGAGAGAGAGAGAGAGAGAGAGAGAGAGAGAGAGAACAACAAGGGAGAAAGATTGGGCTGAGACCAGGGCCAGAAGCCAGTCACCAGTCAGTCAGGGAGACAACAGGAAAGTAAGATATAGAGAAAGAAAGGAAGGTAGGAAGGAAGGAAGGTTAAAAAGCCCTAAGGCAAAAGAAATGGAGAGAAACAGAGTCCTTGCTCATTCCTCTGCAGTGAGAATAAGAGCCCAGGATCGAGAGACGGTTTTCCCATCCTGTGGACCAGAGGTTAGGCTGCCCGCTGCTGCTCTCCATGGAAGTCTGTGGGTGCTCAAGTTGCAAGAGCTTTTCCCTTGGTTTAGAGCTGTTCCCACTCTAACCCAGGCCCCATTTGCCAAATAGAACCGTTTCCTGTTTCTGTGTGCCACCCAAGGGCTCCTCTAGGCACTCAGAGCCACTAAAAACCAAACTGTTCTTCCCCTTCTAAGTCATACCCTGCTTGCGGAGGCCATCCACACAGTTAAGATCACACAGCTCTGAAGTGACGAGCAAGGACTTGACGGACACATAGCCAACTTTAGCGCATTCTCTCTGGTGCCACCACCCTGCTTCTCCGTCTGCACCAGAGCAACGTGTAACCAAGTCAAGGAATAGATAAGGTCAATAAATACCTAAGTAAGCAGACGTCGGAGTTTGCGCCTGTATTCATCACTTTCCACGTGGCCGTGGCAACGAATGTGATGGAAACCATTAAAGAGAGGAAAAATTCACTCTCCTCATTTCTTCACTTATGCCAGACCATGAGAGTGGATGAGGCATGGCACATCAGACTCCACACCACGGCAGTTTGGAAACAGAGGGAGGAAATGTAGGAAAAGGCCAGTGCAGACATAGCTCCCAGAGACACTCCTGCAGGGACCCACTTCCTCTGACTAGCCCCCACCTCCTAATTTATGGATCCATCCAGGGACTGATGGATTTGTTAAGCCAGAGCCCTCAGGGTCTAGCTGTCTCTAGAGGCTGCATCAGAGACATGGCCAAAGGCAGGCTTCACTAATGCCTTCGCAGCTCTTAGTTCAACCCAACTGACGGCCCAAATCAAATAGCAGAGCACATCAAATTTCTCTCATGGAAAGTGTGATTTTTGCATTATATATATTCCATAACTACTCCTGTTGTGTTTTTCCTATATTCACAGGCATGATCCATGATTGAGTTTTTCTATACACATTTGGTTATCCTAATCACATCACATATTCTGACTTTGTGCACAGAGAAAGCTGGGCTCAAGGTTTTATCCCGTGGGAGGCACTGGGCTTTTCTTTGTACCTCCACGCAGTGGCTGCACGTGACTCTTGGTATTTCTGCTTGAGTGTCCGGTGTCTCAGTCCTGGACTTCTCAGTCCTGTTCTAGCTGCACACCCATGCTGGGCCAGAACAAGTGGCCTGTGCACAAAAATTCTGCTGCTGGACACCCAAGCACACAGCAACCCGTCTCTCAGGAAACCCCCTTTCCACCGGGGCGTGGAGGCACTATTGAGGCGTTGTTCATCTTGTGGTTCCTGCTTCCTCTAGGACAGCAGTTCTCAGTCTGCCGTTCCAGACCCTTCTGGGGTTGCATATCAGATATCCTGCTTATCAGATATTTACATGATGATTCATAACAGTAGCAAAATTATAGTGAGGAATGAGGAATGAAATAATTTTACGGTGTGTGTGGGGGGGTCACCACAGCATGAGGAACTGTGTTAAAGGGTCGCAAGACGAGGAAGACTGAGAACCACGGCTCTAGAAACAGGAGCTGGAGTTCAAAGCGCTGTCTGGTACTTACTGGTTATTCATTGTCCTCGGCATCTGGCAAATGAGAGGGGTCTTCAGCTCAGCCTGCGGAGACAAAAACAAGCTCTTTACTGGACCTTACGCATCACATTTAGTTCTGTTGAGCATGCTACCCCTGAGTCTTAGTAGGATTAGCTGCAGGTGCTGGTCTAGAGGAAGCAATAAAAAGCAAATCAATGTAGGTCAAACACTGGTTTATTTCTGGCACAGGGTGGGGGAGGGGACGTCCCCCTCCCCCGACAGGCTGTCCTCCTTCTGTCAGCATTCATCCCATCTGCCCTGAGGAGCTGAGCAAACAGGCACGGAGTCTGGTTTTCCCTGGCGTGCAATTGTCCGCTTCCCCTGGGCACCTAGGAAGCGTCCGCGCAGGTTCCATTGGCTCTGCTCCGAGGAGTCCACGGGCTTGCCGAAGCAGGCTGGAAAAAAGATGCTTTTCGTTTCCCTGCGACTTTTCCATAAAGTATTTACTGGAAGTTTCATTTGTATACCGCTTTACATCAGCCGCCACATTTTATTTGAGTCCAGTGTTCACTCTCAGAGGAGGGGTCATTAGTTCCATTTACCATATACATTAGCAGCGGAGAGCCTGCGCATACAGTAAGCGCTTTACATCAGGGACCATGTTTAATGTGTTCGAAGACTCTGAGAATTATAGCGGACATTTCACCGTACTTCCTGGAGGTCCATCCAGAAGCAGAGTTCTCATATTAGATAATTTGAGAATAGTGAATTGTGATCTTTTGGAAGTTGTGGGCAGGTAGGACACGAAATATCTTGGGGTGCCTGGGAGTGCTAGAAAGGGGGTGCTGTCATTTGTACCTGAAAGACTGAAGGGAGGGGAGGTGACTGGGTTCAGAGACTGAGCGGGAGACTGACTGACGGTTTCAACTGAGGCAGCTTCACAAGGGAGCTGCGGAAGGTAGGATGGAAATGGCCATCCTGAGATCCTCCTATCGTGGACCATCTGCCGTTGTCACCCACTGGCTAGTGTCAGGAAGATCCCAGGAGTGAGGCCCTGTTGTTAAGACTCACTCCCATCAGACCACCAGGGCTCCAGATAAGTGGGGCAGGGCAGAAGCTGAATTTCACAGCTTGGAAATGAAGCTCACAGAGGTTGAATTATGTGCTCATGCACACCTATCGCAGTAGGGGCCCACTTCAGAAATTCTGGTTCCAAATGTGTCATCATATTGCACATAACAAGTCTCATATATGTCAGTTGACTCTTCTGTGTGTCTACCCATCTGTTCACATTCCTCGTATCCAACCACCATGAACTGAAGGCTTTGTGTAAATACTATATCCAGTGTCCAATCCATGCCTGAAGGAGGCTTTTAAAGCTGGGGAAGTTTCTTCATCTTTGTATGCAGACAGTGCTTAAAAGTGCATTGTAAACATGGACACACCCATGACAGAGCACAACAGGTGCCAACTGTCTCATAAGGAAGGAGATGGCTCTTCACATGGTAGGTGAAGCTGGAGCTAGAGCCGGTTTTGCCAAAGAAGTCTGGTTCTTCCAGGCTCAGAGATAAAAATGCATTCTTCAGGCCAAGGTAGACAGGCCTTGGACTTAATGACATGCCATAGGGGTTTTCTATGGATCGGTGGACCACTACAGAGCTCATTTTGACACTGCATGGAGGACTTGAGGAGATCACTCTTTATGAATGGCAAGGACAGCTCATCTCCAAAGTGGGATTCATATTTGACCTATGCGATCTTGGAGTAACCGTTGAAGAAAAGTTACAGAGGAACCTGAGCTGAACTCAGGTTCTCTGACACCCTGTGTATTGCTTCATGACACGCCTGTCTTCTGAGGCCTCGGGTCTGCCACTGACTGCAGGGAAAACAACTGTTGTTAAGCTTCTGTTCTCTTATGGCTCTTTGAACAAGGCGCTGTGTCTTGTTCACAGTCTCCTCTAGCAGTCATCTCCTCCATGGTGGTGGAGAAGATTAAAACCCTATCAGTGAGACACCAACAATTTATAAGTCCCAGGCCGAGGAAATAGAAGGAGCTGTGACCATCTAGATGCCCTTGGTTGGAGAACTTAGTCTCTTACCACTTGGAAATGGTGGCATCAATGTTGTTGGTTTACACTATGGAGTTAGATGTTAAACTAATGTACAGGACGTTGTCTTATAAGGTACAAAATACAATGGAGTATGGATGTACCAGTATTGATGGGATAAGGCTAGCAAGCTACAACAACGGATCCATCATGTCATAGTTCAGTATGTAGGCGTATTCATATCAATTTTAAGATAATGATACCTAATGAATGTAAATTATGTGATTACAGTAAGATAGGAAAAATAGTCTACCCTGAAGCATAAGAACTTTCTTATACAATCGCTTTGTTCCTTCATGTATAACTAGTGGTACTGAAGTGGAATCAGGCTCTCCGCAGAGGCCTCCCTGCAGGCCTGGCTCTTTGCCAGGTCTGGGGTTCACAGCTCTGAGGCATAGGCCAGCTTTTTGCAAGACCCCTCACATCAGTACGGTGGGAGGTTGACCGGCCCTGCTTCTGCCCTCTGCGGTGTCGCTCTGCATGAAGCGCTAGAGCTGGCTTGGTCTCATTTTCTTCATCTGGAGGAAGCAATTGGGCCAAACAAGTCTCTTTTTAGCTCAAAGATGCCACAAAGCAGTTCCCTTAAAAACTATAATCCATCCAAACTTGATGACAACAACGGCTTTAAAATGTTAGAGGTATGTTATTATATTTCTTGCATTTTATTGTCTTCTCCAGTGGAGATTCTTGTAGAACTAAACTGCAGCGGTCTCTATGAAATAGCTATCACAGGGGACAGCAGGGAGGCTGAAGGGAATCTTTGTTGCTTACATGTAAACCTCTGTAATTTGTTTGATCTGTCTCATTTTTAAATATTAGGGAAATTTCACGTTGTTCTATTAGTGATTTTTGAGAGATGTGAGCTGTATATTGTACAAAGAGTGTTTTAAAGTGTTTATTTTTATATGAGCCAAACTCATTTGGCTCTGTAAAAAAGTAAAATTTCGGGTCTGAACAAGTCAGTGGAGCACAAGACAGCCAAGCCGCAGGGCCTTGGTAGGGAGGACGAGTACTCACTACACGGCCACAGCTCTCAGCTCCACCCAGATTGTCCTGAGATCTTCTGAGAACACAATACTCTTATCTGATTTCCTTTTCATAAAGGATGTGGTAATTCAGTTAGAATCGCACGTCTGCCAGTTTTACGAAGATAAAACAGAGTAGAAAAGACATGTAGTTTTGCAAAGAAAACTGAACAAACTGTGATGCTATTCACATCCTATGTCACAGTGACCACTAAGTCTGTATAATCATCTTTAGTCGATACAAAGACAAACTGACATTCATATGTGTTAATTGGTTTTTTCAGGGCATGCGCATACCTGGTCTTTGAAACTCATTTGATCCTGACACTTTGGCTATACTTTTGGGAGGCTCTTGGCTTGGATATAGTCTTTACTTTTCTGTATCATGGGGCAGTACACCAGTGACTGCTTGGGTGTTTGTGAAGATGATGGGAGACATCTGTGATAGAAGTGAAGCACACAAATGTGTTCTCTTGCAGCTCACACTGGGTCTAGCATCAAGACACCAGAGTTGCTACTGTCGTTGGCTTTACGCTAAGCACTGATTCAAGTGAAGACAACAGCAAGACAAACAATAAAAAAAAAAACAAGAGGACTCACATAAAATAAACAAACAAGAACAAGGTAGAATGGGGGCAAAGCTAAAAACTAACAGCTGTGCTAAACACCAAGCACTTGAACCTGAAGACGAATTAAATTCCTTATATTGAGTCCAGGTTTGAGTCTCCAGAAATGTGGAGTATATACCCATGCACATAGACACTGGCTCCATAATCACAGGTCCTTTGCCAGCCCTTTGGATCTACCTGGACTATCAAATGTAGGCTGCCCTGAAAAGTACACTTGGGTTGTTCTGTGCGGTAGTCTATGTATAACTGTAGTCTAAATGCCCCAGATACTTTAGTTGAGCGCTGGATGCTCAGATGACATGACTGTAGACCACCTCACATATCCTAATAAGAAGGCTGACCACACTTGAGTGGATGGCCACACACCCAGGGGTATATGAGCAGCACAAATTAGGGTAGATGGGTTTTTTTTTAAAATGAGGACACCAAGTTGAGTGGGTAGTGAAGGGGAGTAGATTTAGAAGAAATATGGAGAGGGAATACGATCAAAATACAGTGTATGAATCTTTCAAAGAACTAATAAAAAGAAAAGAACAGAAAACAAAGCCACACAAAATGTCTTAAGTTGTGATTTTGCTTGGGACACATTCATAGCCACATATGGCCCCGGGGACTGGTCGGTGGGACATGTCTGAAAGTCTAAAGCCTGTACAGAGGAGCCAGAATCAGATCACCCTTTGCTTTGGATTACAAATCCATGGTTTCATTTTCACACTTTCAGTAGTAGAGTACCTTTAGCTTCCTCTCCTCCAGTACGTGTTTCTGATATCTATAGCGAGGAGTTAGAACAAAGTGTCCGCTCTTTCCGCTCTTACTCACACAGAACTGGAAATTTTAGCACAGCAATAAGATAGGCAAACAAACAAAAACAAAAATCAAGATAGGAAGAAGTGGAATTCTGACAGTTACATCCTCCTGTTTTTTATTATTTTATTTGTTATTTATTTTATTTTTTATTTTTTTTACTTTTTAATTTTTTTATTTACCTCCTGTTCTTATGACACCCTAAAGACTCCACCAGAAAATTCTGAGAACTGATAAACAAGTTACAAGCCAGCATAAAAATCTAGTAGATTTCCTATATACCAGTGCAAACATGTTTGAGGAAGGAACAAGGAAAACAGTGCCATTTATAATTACTTAAAAATTACTTAAAAATAAACCTAACCAAAAAAGTGAAATGGCTTTTGATAAAGATTTCAAAACACTGAAGAAGGAAACTGAAGACACTAAAAGCACCCGTGTTCATAGGTCAGAAAAATTAATATTGTGAAAATATTCCCAAATATGATCCACAGATTCCCCGCAATCTCTACCATTGT